AGCAGGGCACAGGCTCTGGGCAGACTGGAGGCGCACCTTGCCACGCGCAGGAGTCTGGCACGCCATGTCGGTGCTGGGGCCAACTGGCAGATTGGAGATTTCTTTATTCCGTCAGGGAAGCAGCTGGGGAGCAGGTGAAGAGGACGCGGTGTCGCCGTGGACAGGAAGGGTCCCTCTTCTAGAGAGCATGGGACAATGTGTGGCAGTGTGTAAGACAAGTACCACAAGCTGCTTGAGGAAGGGAGGAAGAGGAGGAGGAAGAACTGGCAGGGTCCAGGCAAGCAGCTCTGAAGAAGTAATCCAAGTTGCTCAGGAGGCTGAAGATCTTGGTTTGAAGCCAGCCTGGGCAGACAAATCCAAGAGACTCTTACATCCAATTAACCATCAAAAGCCTGCAGTGGAGGTGTGGCTCAAATGGTGGAGTGCCAGTCTTTAGTAAAAAGGCCAAGTGAGAGTACCAGGCCTTGAGTTCAAGCCCCAGTACCAACACACACACACACACACACACACACACACACACACACACACACACACACACAGAATCAGAGGTGACAAGGATGACGTTTCCAGCTTTGCTTTTAGTGTGACCTTGGGCATGTCATGTGACCAACTGTCAGCTGACAAGGGTGCTAGCTGAAGTCTTCCAGAGCAAGTACTACCCTCTGTGTGAAGGTGCTGGTACTGGGTAGCTTGTGGATTCAGAGGCTGAAAAAGGAGAAGAGGCAGCCTATATGCTTGAGAGTCAGGCCTGCCACCAGTCCTGGCTTTGTCCTTTTGTAGTCTGTCATCCTAGGCTAATTAATCTCCCTGAGCCTCCATGTTCCCATCAATAAAATGGAGCCCACAAGTCCTGCCTCCAGTCCTATGCTGGCAAGCCTGACACGGTGTGTCCAGGTAAAAGGCCTTTGGTAAGTAGCAGCTATGAGCCTCAAAGTGTGTCTCAGTGTGTGTGTGAGCCTTCTTAAGGAGGAGCTGCAAGTGAGCGGGAAGGGAAAGCTTACCACCCCCACCCCCACCACACACACACACACACACACACACACACACCCCCAAACCCCTGCACTGTCTGCTTGGCAGGTGAATTTCCTTCAGACTCTCCATAATGTGGAGGCCTGTCCACAAAGGTAATATGCTGGAATGCATGGAATCTTCGGCAGCCTCACAGTAGGAATGTGTGACGGACAGGACCTGTTTGCAGTGGTGAGAAGCAAGCCCGCATGGCTTGCTTGACACCCAGCAACATCAAAGTCTGGCCTGGGCCATGGCTGCCTCTTCCCAGGCTATGATACCTTGACCGTCACACACTGCAGTCTTTGTTCCTTCAGAGAAGCAGCACGGGTAACAATGACCCCCACCCCAATCTCTTGAATGCCTGCTATGGGCCCAGTGTTTTCCATACTTTATCTCGCTTAAGTCACATCCTAAGTTTGTGATGCTTTTGTCAGATGGGAAGAGGAATCACACTAAGGTTGAGAAGTTTCCTAGAAGTTACACAAGGAGGAAGGAACTGGACTGAGACTCATCTCTACCACACAGTTGTTTAACTCTAGCGCCCATATAGTTAGATGTTGATGGAGACCTCACTTTGGAGATCTTGTGACCGTAGCCATTTTCCAGATGAGGCAGTTGAAAAGTGAAATAACTCATCAGGAATAGATAAGTGGCTGGGAAATCGTAGGGCCTGACATTGACCTTGAGGTATTCTAATCCAGCTCATCCCTGCTACCCAATAAACTATACTGCTTGTCAAGGTATGATCAAGGCAGAGGCAGGAGGATCAAAAAGTCCAAGGCCACAGCCAAGCACCAGCGGCTCTCGCCTGTAATCCTAGCTACTCAAGAGGGAGAACCCTGGAAGATATCCATAGAGAAGTCTCCAAGATTCCCATCTCCAAAATAACCAGCAAAAAAGCTGGGCTGGAGGTATGGCTCACGTGGTAGAGCACCAGCCAAGCAAGCAAATAAAAGGCCCCGAGTTCAATTGCTCTTGAATGTTCAAGGCTCAGAGAACACTGGACACTTGGTCCTGCTGATTGTGCTATGTCATAAGCTGTGTTATCTCAGTATTCCTTTCGTATCATCTTTAATTAGTCTCAGGGTAAGTCCGCAAGCCCCTGAACATGGTGTACAGGACAATGTGTCCAGTGCTCCAGTTTATAGTGATATAGCCTTTGCTTCTCTCACAGCGTACAAAAGGCTGGAAAGGGCTGGGAGAAGGCTCTAGCCAGACTGTGCAGGTGAAGTGGGATGGGTCGGAGAGGAACTCACCTGGTTCCGAAGGAGGAGGACACTAAAGGGAACCAGAGGGGAAGGGCTCCTCCCGTTGGGGTATAGTGGCTGAGGGAGCCTCCCACCCAGCAAGCTAGGGCAACAGCCACTTGCGGGGACCAGGGAATCACAACCCGGCTGGAGAGAAGATACCAGAACACCCACCGCTGCCCTACAGATGGGTGGAGTTTTTGTCCTCACTCTCAGCACCCAGAAGAGAAACAGAGAACATTCTCCTCTCCACTTTGGGACCTCCTTAGTTTCTCTGTCTCTCTGTCTGTCCCTCTTATCTCTGACCCTCCCTCCCTCCCTCCCTCCCTCCCTCCCTCCCTCCCTCCTCCTCTCCCCTCGTGCCCCAGGTAGATCATAGGCACTGTCTGGCAACCTTCAATTCTTTTCTTCTTTTTTTTCCCCCATTTAAAACTGCTGTCTTGTTTGGGGCAAAAAGGATGGCAGGTTTGCACTTGTCCTCCAGCCCTCCGCATAATTGGTGGCAGTAGGCAAAGCGGCCGCAGGGGAGGGGTTTGCCCCTGGAATGAAGAAGGGAGGGAGTCTCAGAATGACAGGGCCCTTGGAGATCACGTGACCCAACCTTTCTGTGGCCTCCACACCATTCCCATGACCTGCGCGCTGGCCTCCCCACCGGCACCTCCCACCCCCACCCGGGGCCTCCGCCTCCTCCCCCAGGGCTTCCTAAGGGCACTGGCCCCCTTTCCAACGCCGACTAAAGCCACCCTGTTGTTTTCTAGATGAGGAAACTGAGGCTTATTGAGATGGAACTTCCCAAAAGTAATCTTTGTCCCAGGATAAGGAACCCCAAACCTCGGTCTGTTTCTGTCTTCCTATTGCGCCCCCCCCCACCCCGCCGTCCACCCCCATCCCCACCCTTCCAGTCCCTAGAATAGGAAGGTGCGAGCCCTCCCCGGAGGCGGAGGGCGTCCTCTGCGAAGCCCACCCCCACCCCAGTCACGCCGGCTGCCAAGGTCAAGGGTCTGAGCGCCGAGTGGTCTTGGGGGAGCTCTGGCTCGCTGCCCCTTCCTCCTGGGTACCCGGGGCGGCGGTGGGTTCTAACGGTCTCCGGGTCTCCGTCCCGCAGGAGCGCGGCTCTGGGACCTGGTGCCTTGTTGTCTGACCCTAGCCGCACAGCCCTCTCAACACACCTTTCCCCTTGGAGAAGACGCAGAGCCCGTGCACGTTGGGGGGTGGCGTGGGGGTCCCGTCGGCAGTTTGCCTCTTTTACTTTGAGGGGCTGGGCCGCCGCTCGCAGCGCCGGGCAGGCCTGGGGGAGGGCGCGGCGCGCTCTTTGTGTCCCGGGCGGCGGGCGTGGGCAGGGCGGAGGGGTGGCGTTCGCGCCCGTGCGCCACAGGTAGCGAGCGTGTCACCGGGGACTCACGGCCAGCGCCCGGGGCGGCCCTGGAGCGGGCGGTGTGTGCGTGCGTGCGTGCGTGTGCGTGAGTGCATGTGCGTGCTACTTTCTTCCTGGCCGGGCAAGTGGATTCAGACCCAGGTCGGGGAGTAGATCCACCGAGGGCGAGGGGGGGAGGTGGTAACAAGGAGGGAGGCCGTCAATGGCCTGGAGCTAGAAATGCCATCTAAGGTTTCGAGGTGCCATGTGGCCGCGTGACGGGCCGTGTCAGTGGGCAAGCCGGGCGCCCGGCGCCCTCGTCGGCTGCAGCCGACACCTCGCGCGCCCTCTTTGTCTCCCAGCGTCTAGAGGTGCGCGCGTCCGGAGACCCCGGGGGGGGGGGCGCACACCCTCGCTCCCCGGGGGGCGCAGCCGGGCTCCCCCGCGCGCTCTCTCGGGAGAGAGAGGCCCGAGCCCGAGCCGGGTGCTGTTTGGTCTGGAGCGGAGCGGGGCTTGCATTGATCCATTGATTGCGCGCAGGCTGTGCCTGACCCCGGTGCTCCCGGGAAGCCGTCTCCATGGAGACCGGGCCCGCGCCCCCGGCGCGGATTGTAAATTCCTGCCGGCGGCGGCCCGGCAGCCGGGGAGGGGGCCGCGCGCCCGGGCGCAGGGGGGCGGCTGCCAAGCCCAGGCCCCAATTGAAAAAGAGAGAGAGAGAGAGAAGAGAGAGAGGAGAAGAGAGAGGAGAGAGGAGAGGAGAGGAGAGAGAGAGAGAGGGGAGAAAGGGGGGCACGGAAAAAGGAGGTGGTGGAGAAGGAGGGGGAGGAGGAAGAAACGAAAAGGAGCGAGGAGAGGAGGAGAAAGAGGAGGAGGAGGAGGAGGAGGAGGAGGAGAAAGGCGAAGAAAAAGAGCCGGAGCCGGGAGCCCGGAGCGGGCGGGGGACCCGGAGAAAGGGCGTTCCTGGCGGCGTCTCCCCTCCTCTTTCTCAGGTCCCTCGCCGGGCTCCGGCGCGGCTCCCTGCGGGCGGGCGAAGCTGGGAGCAGGGTGGGATTAGACGGAGCAGCCCCGCCGCCGCCAGCCGAGCCGAGCTTGGAGAGGAAGGCCGGGTGGGGTGGGGGGGGTCCACGGGGTTCCCCTCCGTCAGCCGCTCCGGGCGCCCCTCGCCTGGGTCTCCGCCCTCCATCTCCCCCGACGTCGGGCCGGGAGGAGCCGGCAGCAGCGGGAGCCTCCCGCCTCGGGCGCCCCGCGATCGCTCGGCGCCCCGCGACTGCAGCCCTCCACCGCCCCCCCCCCCCGGGCCTCCGGCCGGCCCCGGCGGGGCGCCCTCCCCTCCCCCTCCGGCGCGCAGGGGCCCCGGCCCGCTTCCGCCCTCCGGGGGCTCCGCAGCCATGGGCTCGGGGCGCGTGTCCGGGCTCTGCCTGCTCGTCCTGCTGGTTCACGCCCGCGCCGCCCAGCACGGCAAAGCAGCGCAAGGTAAGCCTGGAAAAGAGGGGCGCGGGGCGGGTGAGGGGCGCGGGCCGGGGCGCGATCTCCCCCCATACAGGGGCAGGGCAGGTGCCGGGCAGGGCTGCGGCGCTCTCCGAGTGCCCGACACCGGCGAAAAGCTGGAGGAGCCACGGGTAGCTGGGGCCGGGGGTGTGTGTGTGGGGGGGGGAGATGAGTGGAAAGTTCTGGGGGGGCGGTGGGCACCTCCCAATTCTGCCAGACTTCACTGCCGCCCCCCCTCCACACCCCCACCCCAGCATCTTCTACGAGACTTCTCGTCCTCCCGAGTCAGAATCTCCTCTTCTCCCACACCGTGCCAGAAACTTCAGTCTGTGGCCTGGGGAAGGAGAACTTTTCAGTCTTCGCCCTCCCCTCCCCTCCCCTCCTCCCCGCCCCGCCGGCACAGTCAGAGGATTTGAAGTTGCTATCTTATCAGTGGGGGGGAAAAATGTTCAAGAAAAATAGGATCTTTGGTGGAAAATCCAGCTCTGTCTCGGTAGGGATGGTAGGGGGTTGAAGAGGAGAATTCTTGTGACTGGCTTGTGGCAAGAATGTCCTGTTTCTGCTCCCCCCCTTTTTTTTTTGGAGGGAGAGGGGAACCTCTTTCGTCCAGCATGGCTTTCGTTTCTTATCATAATATTTATTTATTAAGGCCTCGGGGTTTCCAATTCCATTTAAATCCAGGTCAGAGTGGTATTAAAATAACAAAGTAAAATTCCAGGCTGGGGAGCTCTGACAGATCCCTCTAGGAATTAGCGAGACTTCGAGGCCCTCCTCCTACTCCAGTCCCGGACCCAGCCCAAAGCCCATGGCTTGTCCAGTCGCAGGGCTGTGCTGGCAGAATTCGTGCTGGCATCCCTGAGTTCTCTGGGGACAGATAACCCTCTCCCCATTGTGTCCTCACCCAGAAGAGATTTATATGGACAGAAAGAAAACTGCTCCTGGCAAGCTTTTCGCCTATTGTCCCTGGGGCTCCTGAAGCTAAGCTAGCCGGGGTGAGGCGGTGGCTGGGCCAGAAAGAAAGTTGAACTTGGGAGTTGGGAAAGCTTGATTAGTCTGGCAGTCAGGTCTTGGTGTCCCCTCTCTCCTAAAACACTGGCTTTTCAACTAACCCTTTTTACCCCTCCTTTAACCTGCCTGGTAACAGAACCAAACACGGGAGACCCACAGCTGTCAAAGACCAGACCCCAGCCTCATCCTCTCTCTACCTCAAACAGCCTCTGCTCCAGGTCTGGTTCCAGACAGTTCACCCTCCCTCCCCTCCCCCCCCACCCCCACCCCACCCCCACCCTGGGAGCAGCCCCTCTCCTCACTGTGGATTTGCTTGTGTTTTCATAAACAAAGCTGGCTTTTGTAGTGCCTGCTGACTTGCTCATAACATGGAATTAGCTGGGGAGTTTAGTCTGAAGGAAGGAACAGATTTCATGCAGTAATCTAGAGACAAGATAAGGGCCTCTTTCAAGTTGGAGCCAGTGTCTGTAGTGGTCTAGAGAGACTGGGAGTAGGGGCGAGTGGCTGGGGGCTAAAGGAGAAGCAGTGTATCAAAGGGGCCCTAAGGGCAGATGGAGACCCCCTAAAAGGGAAGGTATCATCAAGCAAAGCTCTGGAGCTGAAGATCAGCCCATATTCCAGGGATAAAAGAAGTCAGAATCTCTTCAGGTTACTCCAGGACACCCTCTTTCACTGGATACCTTACTGGGTGCTGGGTGGGGGGTAGCTGCTGGATGGGGGCTGTCCCCAAGGAACTTACCCACTAATAGAGTTGCTCTCTGCCTGTCTCGCCACCGGGACACACCTGTTCTGACTGGGCTTGCAAGAACCTACCTGCTTGCTTACTGCCTGCCTTCTTTGCTTTTCTTCCTTCCTTTTTTCTTTTTTCCTTCCCTCCCTCCTTCCCTCCCTTCCTCCCTCTCTCCCTCCCTTTCTTCCTTCCTTTTTTTTCCTTTTTTTCTTTCTTCTTACTCCCTCCTGCTGCTTTCCTTTCCCTTTCTTTCTCCCTTCCCCTTCCTTCCCTCTATTCCTTCCCTCCCTCCTTTCCTATTTTCCCTTCCTTCCTGTTCCTGAGTCTAGCTTGGCACAGAGTGGAACCTCTCATTGACCCTGCCATTCAGGAAATCTATAAACTCCCATTTACCAGAGGTTGCTTAACTAATCCACACGCTTGCTGAATTAGAGAGAGGTCTTTGGCCCAAGCTTGCAAGCAGATGCTGTAGGACGGATGGGCAGCCCTGCCAACTTACAGCGTGCTGTGGGCTTCCAGGACACCTCTCTTGCCCTTCAATATATCTTCCAGGTATCATCAGTGCCAGGAGGTGTGCTAAAGGCCACATGCTTTTAAACCATGCTCTACAAGTCTTTAACATAAAAATACCTTTGAAGAGAGTTACTCTAGCTCTGGGGAAGTCTATGTTGCTGGCCTTTTTTTTTTTTTAACTAGAAAAGCCAAAAGTCATGTGGAATGAGATAGTGGGTAGGGACAAGGATGTGAGCTGTAGGTGTGAGGGAATGTGTGTGTGTGTGTGTGTGTGTGTGTGAACATAGCTGGGTGGCTGCATCTGCTGTAACTTAGTCATTACTGACATGAATGCTGAGTGTGTACGAGTGGGCGTGTCAGCTAGTGGGACTGGATGGGGAGTGAGTGAGCTTGAGGGTACATGGTTTTGAGTGTTTTTCAAGTGCCTGTCTGTGTATCTTAAAGTAGACAGACAGGATAACCAAGATAATTGTTAACTTAAAAGCATTAATTTGCTTTGCTTTTTTTTTTTTTAAGGTGGGGGCAGCGGTGGTTCAGGAGAGCTAATCCTGGCTGGGGGCTCAGGTTACAGCTGAATGAAAAAGGCTCCCAGCCTCCAGGGAAACTCTGCCTCAGGGCAGACGCTGCGGGAGCCAGCTCGGCCCCTTTTCGTTTTACCTGGTTGTTTTCTCTCCTCATTAGGGATAGAGTTGTGCTCAAGTCATATATTTACTGGTTCCAAGTAACACCATTCCTGGGGCTGAGAGTGTTCATCTGGCAGCAAACAGTGTCTCTCTGTCTCAGCGCGTCTCTCCGGGTCTCTGTCTGGGTGTTTGTGTCTCTCTCTCCCCCACCCCTCTTCCTCTTTAATGTGGCTGTTTCCTCTCCTCCCTGCTTCCCTGGGCTCCTGTGGCCAGCTCTTACAGTGAGGGGACTGTTCCTCCTAGCCCCTCCCTCCAAAATATGAAATGAAAACCATAACCGTGGCAGCCGGTGAGGGGTGGCTCCGTGGGTAGCCAGCTATGGCCTGTATCCCATCCGGGCCATACAGGAGAGGGGGGGGGCGGGTGGAGAGGAGGCGAGGGAGAGGGAAGGGGAGGGGGGAGGAGATATACCCCACTCTTGGATTCTGATCTTTAATTAGCACCCCCCCCCCCAGCCCCATCCCTACCTTTCTTTTTTTTCCAGAAGGGTAGAGGGAGGAGGGGACTACTCAGAAATTCCTCAGGAATCCTTTTGACCTCTTCTTCTCTGGGTGACTGGCTCAGGTGGTCGGGGAAAGAAAGCCTGGGGCCCTGAGCGAAGAAACTTTTCCACCCTCACTTCTCACCCCTTAAGTGTGTGCAGGGTGGGGTGAGAGGGAGGGGTCTGGAAGACCATGGGGCCACACTGGCTGCAGGTAGAGCTAGGAGAAAGTTATCAGCAAGCTGCAGACTTGTTTTCTAGAACCTTTTGGAATCCGAGAGCATGAGAACTGGTTTGAGTCATGAGCAGCCAGGACCTGTTGTAAAAGGAGCTGGTCCTGGTGTGAATTTGGGAATGTGAGGTGTGCGTGTGCATGACTCAGTGTGTGTGTGTGTGTGTGTGTGTGTGTGTGTACGCCTGTGCTTGCGTGGTGCTCCGGTGAGAGGAAAAAGGAAGTCGGGTAATATGCGTTTTGTTTTCATTGGAGGAGTAAAGTAGAGAAGTGGAATGGCTTGGTCCAGCGCCTTAAGTTGAGGACGGGGGATGGGAATGGATGGCTTTGACCCTCTAGAAAAGATGGAGGTGGAGGATCGGCTGCCTGATCCCACCCCAGTCCCCGCTCCCAGCTCCTGTGTCCCGATGTGGGCCTCCTTGGCCATCCCATGCCTCCAGCACATGACCACTTACAAGAAAGAGTCCCTGTCAGGGCTGGAAACTGCAGAGCTGCTGGGAGGCTGGCACTGCCTGCAAGAGGCCCAGACCTGGGGACAGCTTCTGCAGGAGTCTGGGAGCAGGAAGCCTGCTGGCCTTGGGGAGAAGGGGAAAAAGTCAGTCCAGGGTTCCTGGGAGGCATGACTAGCTATTCCCCTGAGCTAAGAGGGGACATGATTCCTTCTCTGTCTGTAGACTGGCCACACGCCTCTTCCCAGGCCCACACCCTGCCTGACTCTGGTGGTGCTGGGGACCCTGATGCCAGGGGCTTGGACAAATATAGAATCTGAGCATTGGGGCCTCCGAGGAAATTCTCTTCCTCACTTGCAAAACCAGTAGGGCCCCCTTCCTGCTGGAGAGCTCCAGTCCTGTAGCCAGGCTATGCTGGTTACTCTCCGCCTGACCCTGCTCCACTTCTTCCTGCTTGGGTTTATGGCACTTGGTTACTTTTCTTCCCAGGGCCCCAAGTACCTGATAGTTCTGTGTCCTTATGTGGGCATTTGCCCCTGGAAAGAGCCACAGGAGAACCTGCGGTGCTTGTCTTTGTCATTGTCCACCCAACCAATTGGGAGGTTAAGCTGAACTGCCCCACCGCCTGGGGCTCCACCTCACCCTCTCCCCTTTTCCATCAGGGCTTGCTTTGGGGGTAGAAATTGGATGGTATGGTTTACTTGCTGCACAGACAGGATGATGACACCCTAAATAGGGCACTGGGACCCTTGGCTCACCTATGGTTTTTCCCTGCGGCTGGAAACCATAACCCTAGAGAGCTGTGGGGTTTGGATTTCAAGCCTGGTGCCAGGAGCTGGCCAGGACTGGCCACTGACAGCGATGAGCTGATGGAGGGACCTGGGCCAGG